CCTTCCTCCCTTTTTTGAAAATGGGGACACTGGCTCTTTTCCAGTCCTCTGGCACCTTGCCAGAGCACCACGAGTGCTCATAAAGATGTGCCAGGGGTCCCGTAATGATCTCTGCTAATTCCTGCAGCACTCAGCAGTCTCTGCCTCCAAGTACCCAGAGAGGGTAACCAGGGTGCTGATCTCCTTGCTGAGTTCCTGCTGAAAAAGTGTCAGCTGTCAGTGATGGAGGTGACCTGAGCATGTCAGAGGATGATCCTGGCCAACATCACTTGTATCGGGGACCTCCTGGATTATGCCATGCAGGGGTGGACCCAGAGTATGGAGCTGCCCATGCTGCACACTTATTCCAGGAGGTAAAGGCTGCCCTGTTTACCATGGCCCCCACCTATGTCAACCAGTTCCTGTGTGAGGGAAGTCCACGCCCACTGGTACCCCCCCAGCCATCCAGGGCTAGTTGTGGGCCCACGATCTCAGCAGACTCCACAACACTCCCTGACCAACCATCTTGGTAGGCTGGAGAAACCTAGCTGGTCTGCCTCTGAACAGCCATTGCCCCTAGCTAAACACACTCAGGCTCCACACACTATATCATACCATCCTCACATCCCACCCCAACAAGCGGTGAGACACACTAGGTGAGGGTGAAGGCAAGAGTCCCCAGTGAACAAGTTTGTATGCCACCCTGATCCCATGAGCCACCAGGGACCTCAGCCAATGGCTCCTCCATAGAACCATTAACATGGGTGTATATCTGGAATGCTTTACAGACACCCCTGACACTTCCCCATTTTGCCAACAGAGGGAGACCCTAGCACATGGCTACCTTGAGTGCACCAGGTTGCCACCCCTTCTACCTCCTAGAGAACCTCCTGCTGGGGTTCTGGCTTCACTTCTTCTCATACCTTTTCTCTTGTGCACTCCCCATCCATGACCACACCAAGCCCTGGGACCTCCTGGTCAACTGCTTCCTTGCTCTGGCCAAACTGGCAATTTATAAAAGCAAGAAGGAGGCTCTGGCCAGGAGGAATCTGGGCAAGTGTGAGGCTGCCTTCCTGTCACTCCTCCACTCATGTCTCCAGACAGTTTCATTGGTTGGCACCACAGGTTCTCTCAACTCATTCAGGGGGCAGTGAGAGTGGACTGCTGTGTTCTGTTCAAATATGATATTTTCTGTTTTATCTACTATTCCCTTTTTGGTAATTCCTCAGCTTCAACATTTTGGACACTTTATTAATGACTTCCAAATCCTCTTGGAAAATGATGACCATTTTAATAGAGCCTTGGGGGACAAGCCTGTTCTGGCTTACAGACAGTCCCCTGACCACAAACTTAACTCCAGTTCTCACCAAGCCATGGGCCTTGCAACAGACCCAAATGCTACCTGTGCCCCTTCATAAATACAGACCACATAATCATGGGACCAAACAACACTGATCATAAATCCAGGGTTCATTCACCATCTCCTTTGCCACTGTCACATATGTCATCACCTGCTTATTGTGCTCTTCTGCAGTCTGCATTGGACAGACAGAGCCATCACTGTGAGACAATGAATGGACACCAATTTGATATTAATTCCAAAAATACACAAAAGCCTATGACAGAATACTTTAACTACTTCAGACATTTCATCACTGACCTCAGAGGAGCTGTTCTTAATCAAGAAAAGCTTTAAAAAACAACTTGAACATGAAATTGTGGAACAAGAAATCATCCACAGACTGAATTGTTCATGTATGATCTCAGCAGAGACTATAGATTCTTATCTCATTATCAGGACTAGTTTGTATTAACCCTATATCCCTTAATGCATTAACTGCCTGTTTATCCCTAATGATCTAAGTAAAACACAATTTTCTCAGAAGTGCTGTATCTCCCTATCCTTTCCACCCCTTTTTTCTACCCTTATATTTAAATTCCTTTCTATTTAGAACCCGTGCTTTCTGCAAGTCCAATCATAGCATCTGATGAAGTAGGCTGTTGCCTACTAAAGTCCATGCCTCCCTGAACAAGTTAGTGTCTATGGGTGCCTACATATGAGCAGAGAGGCTGCTCTGACATGCTAGAATTCCAGCATGTCGGAGCACAGTCGATTAATCGAATTTGCTGGAGTGCGGAAATTAATGCTAATTCGACAAGCTTTAGATAAAGCGCACCCACTGCTATTTTGAAGCACAGGAACATTGATACAAAAGACATTCTGGGCTCTTTAATTAGAGCAGCTCCAAGAGCTACTCTAATTAAAGCACCTCCCTTTCTCCCCCAGAGCACATGTATAAATGCCCTAGGATGCAACCTTGCCCTGCCTTTTGCCTGGCTTTAGGCCAGTGATTCTCAACCAGGATGGTTAAGAATCCTGGCAACTGATACACATTATACATAAGACATGGTTAACCAGTTAATTATGTCTTCTGTTGTTACCTGGCCACACATTCATGCAATTCATTGTGTGATAAAACAAGGACTAAATGTGTAAAAGCTTTGTGTCTGGTGCCTTTCATGCCATTAATTGAATGTGTGGCCAGGTGTAACAGAAAACTGGGTGCTCTGTTACTTGCAGGTGCACAGGCAGCAGCCAGGTAGCCTGCAGCTGGCGGCAATCACTAGTTAGGCACAATGGCCTAACTGGGAACAGGGCCCAACTGGCCCTTACAAGAGCAGGGCCCTGAACAGCAAGTCGGCAACAGTTTGCTGCCAGCAGCTGGAGAGACACCACTAGCTGACCTGCTGCTCAGACACCTTGGAAGTACGGACAGGAGCTATGGGGATGGCTAGAGGCTGCTGGTCATGGGCATGACCTAAAACTACACCCTGCTGCAGTTGGATGGTGTGGTGGGGCTGCTTGTGACAGGGCAACTTCCAGGAAATGTCATGCGCAGGGCCCCCCCTTTGAAGGGAGAGTATGGGGTACCAGAAAGCCTCAGCCCCCACTGCCTTGCAGGTGACCCCATGGAGGGGAAAGGCTAGGGGAGTACACCCCGAAGGACAAAGCATGAGCCCAGACTCACGGGAAGTTCTGAGGCAGGGCCCCACATCAGGAAGGGACCTGGGGCAGCGCCAAGACTCACCATGAACTCTGAGACTGCACATAGGAGCTAGGAGTGAAGCTCCAGGGGGAAGGGGTCCTGAGCCTTTGGGTAGCTATATGAGAAGCTCCTAGGCAAAGAGATAAAGGGTTTGTTGAGGCCCAGTGTAAGGCAGAAGCTACTATGAAGCCCAGTGTGGGGCATATGGGGCTTGGAGCCCAGCATGGGGCTAGGAACCCTAAATAGAAGTGGGGCTTGGAGCCCAGAATTAGGATAGGGTTGGAACCCAGAATTGGGATGGGGCTTGGAGCCCCGAGTGAAGGACACCTGAGAGCCCAGTGAGAAGGCACTGGGACCGTAAGCTTCAGTGGGGACTGGAAGTCCCGTGTGAGACTCCAGAGCTCAGGTCCCAGTGTGCAACACTGGAGGAACATGGATGACATCTGCAAGGAATGGGACAATACAGGGGTGGCCAGAGCTGCGTACATAGGCCCTTGTCACTAGGGCAAGTAAATGGGCAGCCTCCCACCTTGTTAACATCATTCTATTGTATCATCTAAGGCATGATGAGCAAAGTAGGCAGGTGGGTGGGCTTATGTTTAGACCAGCTCTGGGACACCCACTTGTTACACCAGGCTAGTGCTCCCAGCTGTGGGATGTGCTCCTGTGGTTGGGACCTCTGTCAGTTGATCTGAGTTCCCAGCCACAGGGATGTACCACATGCCCCACTGCTGGGAGCCTGGATCAGCTGAAGGGGGTTCCAGTCTCAGGGGCACATGGTATGTCTCTGGGTTGGAAGCCCAGATCAACTGGTGTCTCCCAGCCTAGGGGGAGGCACAGTATACCCCCATGACTGGGAACCTGGAGCAGCTAACAGGGCTCCCAGCCATAGGAGCTTGCTACTTGCCATGCAAGAATTATGATCCTGGGCTCCCCCCGCATCAGCGATAAGGTGTGATGGGATCTGATGCTTGATCCCACAATCACGCCTAAGGTGTCACACTATCCTGCCTTATGCCTGAATTTAGACAAGTGATTCTCAGCCAGGATGCCATGATACCCTGGGGTTCTTGGAGATCCTTTCAAGAGTGCCGTGGGGTGGCATGCACTGTTAGATTCACAAGATAAACCCAGATATTTCAGTAGCATCTCCATAGCATTAAAAACTTCTGTTGTGATCTTTGCAAAAGAAAAATTGATCTATTATTTTTATTAGTCAAATAACAAGCTAAAACTAAGAGTTAGCATTTTTCAAGGAGTGCCTCAAGTCTAACAGAGTGCCTCAAATCTAAAAAGGTTAAGAAACACTACTTTAGAGTAAATAGGGCTAACTATCTCTCTCTTGTCCTAATTAACTTATCCTCTCTCTATAAATCCTAACTAGTTTGGCTAAACTGTACAGCAAAGACAGAATAGCAGCTTCTTTTTTATGCTAGTGGATGGCACACTGTTTCTTTATAACATTTTATAAGTGTGAATTATTAAAAAACACGTAAAACTTTAACATGCGACTACAAGCTTTAAATGTGGCTACAAATAATCTCTTAGGTATCAAAATATATGTATAAATAAATGAAATTCACCACTGAAAAGAAGTTCTGAGAGTACACAGTAATTCTTAAAACAATTGTTAAAATACTTACGCAAAGATAATAACAGTGAAATCAAGCCAGTTCCAGGGGTCTCGAAGGAAAGTAAAATGATCTATACAGAAGCCTCTTGCAAGAATTTTTACAAGAGATTCAAAAGTATAAATCCCAGTGAAAGTGTACCTAAAGAAAACATTTTTAAAGTTATCATTCAGTAATATACATCACTGGAAAGACATAGAGAAGCATTCAGAATAGTGGTTAAATGGAGTGCTTTTCATGTTACTGGATCACAGGTAACAAAAAACCCTCTGCAGGATTGCAGTGCCTTCTAACTGACACATTTGTGTCTCTCTCACTCGCTTTTTTATGGAGTGAAGAGCCATATCTGTGAAAAGTGATCATGGCTTCCTCTCTGAGCAAAGATAAAAAAGCCTTCTAAAAAAGTACTGCTATATGGTTATCTAATGGCAGCCTGGACATCCTATGACACCTCCTTTTTCTGCTTTACAACAAATGGCACACATCCACACCCAGTATGTGGAAAATAAAGTCCTCAGCCATAATTTTTGAGTTGCTTCTCTCAGTTTATCAATTTCACTTCAGTCATCTCTGTCCCAATTTAACTTGTACATTGGGTAAGGTATTTGACAGCACTGGTGGGCTGAATGGGATGAAAACATGGGACCCAATCCAAAGAATAGTGAAGTCTATTAAGCTCTCAATTATCACTGTGGGACCATTGATACTTGATAACCCTCATGGTCCTTCTCAGTAGCTTTCTATGCACACTGAACAAAAGGAGAATGGGATTCACAGAACTCTTGTTTGAGACCTCCAACCCCCAGAAGTGATAGTCGAAAAAGAGGCATGGATTCATAAGATATATTCATTCCTACTATAATCTAGAAGGCAAGTCAAGAAGGCCTCATGATCCATGATCCCAAAGGCAGCTGACAGACTTAGGCTAGGGACATACATTACACATAAACTGATTTAAGTAATCAGAAACTGTTTTAAACCTGTAACAGATAAGATATTCAGTGCACATAAGTCAGTTTGAAAATGCCTGAAGCCACTTTGAGACATACCCAAGCCAGTTTATACAATGTCTGTCCCAGGGAAGCTTGGCTTCCCCCTGCTCTACCCCCACTGCGCTGCTCACTGCTCAAGCAGGAATCCCCCCTCTCTCCCATCTCCCACAGCATGGAACCCAGCCCCATGGACCCTAGGCATGTGGTATGCTAGCTACTGCCAAGAAGTGTCTGTGTGTGTGTCTCTCCAATTTCACTGGAACAGTCAGAAAGAACAGTGACCCCTTAGGGCTTTTTGGAGCTAATCAACAGGTCAGCTGGTAAACTGTTTAAGAAGAGTTTGAACTAATCAAGAAAGGCTATTGTTTTGCTGATGGGGTGATAAACACTGTTATCAGCCCCCTGCTGGTTTGCTTGCCTGTCAGTTTGCTGCAGACAGTATAAAGAAGCAGGGAGGAAGATTGAAAAGCTCTGTATCATCAACGGATGCATGCACTACACACACACACCCTTGCCTCAGGGTGCTAGCAGGTGGCTGGGGTCTGGCAACACTGCTGCCTCTCAAGCAGCAAGCAGGAAAAAGCCTGGGATGGTGCAGACAGACCTCACTAATCAGGACTTCCTGCCAGGACCTGGCCGTGCCCCCCCTCAGCTCAGCACTGTTAAAGGGAAGGAAGGGCTATTCTAGTGCCCCCCAGCTTCTAGCCAGAGCCACTGCAGGCATGTGCCTAAATTTTCTCAGTACAGAGATAATGTCTGTTCAGTTACAAACCAGTTTAGCCTAGCCAAGTGAGACTAACCTGCAAAGATTGAATCAATTCAGGCTCAGGCTTTCTGTATATCTGTCCCTAGCCTTTAAGTCATATAAACACTTTGGAACAAATTCTATTTTTAGATTGTTCAATATTGGTTCACAAGCCAATTGTGTTTGTTTGTTTTCTCCTATGCTGTGGGCTGCAGACAGGCTGGTATAGGCTTTCTGAGAGAAGAACAATCCTCTAAGGAGCCAGACTTTCAAAGAAGTGTCTTTGATAAAATATTTCCTTTTTACTTCGTTGCACACTCTTCAGGGTCAGGAACCAGATGCACTGCCAAGCCCCAGCGAAAGAAAAAGTTGTAAGACACACACTCAGCATTTTTGCTTGAATTCAAGTCAGGGACCTACTTTTATATTTTAAAAGAAAATGGTTTGTGACCAGTATTGTAGCAAGGAAGTTTGGCGCTTGGAGCAAGTGCACAGTGGCAGCCCATTCTCGCCCCGCACATCGATCTGGGGGGTCTAATGCCCCTCCCCCCCCATGCTTGCCAGAATTTTCTGAAATATTTATAACAAAATATCGACTCTCAACTTGCCTGTTCACACCTGGGGCATTCACCCTATTCGCCCCTCCCTTGCTATTGTATTGTTTCTGAAAATTGTTCTGAAAATTCTGAAATTGTTCCTAAAAAAGCAACACTTTTTCTCAGAATAACTGTCTTCCCTTTTAGAAAAAATTTAAAAAACATGAAAATCAAAAAGAGATACAGTTCTGAAACCAAATGATCAGCTATCACATCAAGACATGGAATAGTTA